TGAATAGGCTAGAAAGTTCAAAAGAATTGGATTTATTTGAAATACAATTCTTTTAGAACATTATACATGTTTTCACTGTCCCTTTTGATCGAATAAAAGTATTAAATTCTTTTAAAAAATCTTGCTGAAATCAAATTTTTGAACGGTAGTGTACATCATAAATATTGATATTTTTACTATTTCATTCTTATCGAATTATCTGCAGTTTTATGTAATCTTAAACTGACCATTATTTTTGCAATACAAAACATTTAGCCCACGTATAATAACAGTAATTCTTACTGCCATTATGGCAATGGATACAATGATTATAGTAACAATATTATTTTACTACAATAATGTGTAATACAATTTGTCTTACCTGTGTTTGGAGCTGCTTCTGTCCTGATCTGTGTTGTATTAGGCTCCTTCCATCAAGAGACAGTGAACAGGAGCTCAACTAGCCAAGAGGACCTGGGTCAATCAATCTCTTCATACTTAAACTTTTTTTCCATACTCCGCCTCCTTGCCAATTTACATTGAGCATATTCCCTGCTCCTGAAAATTTTTGTGGGTGCTTGCAAAACTATCTCTCTTGACATAAAATGGCCTTTGAACAGGTAACCAGACTTAATGAGTTCATCAGCAGTTCCTGTGTTACTTTTGTTGATCCATTGTTGCTCTACGTGACGTTAATGCTTTCCTCCGGAATTGTCTGTTTTAACAATATAATTATGTCAAACATTAATATATATTATTGTTTCAACCTGTATTAAAGGAACAATTCACCCAAACATTCTGCTATTCTTTTCAAGGTTGTAATAATTGTACAAATCAAACATCTAATTTTAAAAATAGCAACATTACATAACATTTTGATCACTTAACAAAAATGTACCATTCCATTTCATTTTTATTTGATCAAAATATATGTATTTTCTTTTTATTTTTCCATCATCAACTAGCATTTTGATCTGAAACATTCAAGCAATGCTATCCACCCATCCATCCATCCATCCATCCATCCATCCAACCACCCGCATAGCAACACCCTAACTAGCATGAGTACCCTATAGCAACCACTGCAAGTACCCTAGCAACCACCCTGATACTCTAGCAATCAATTGCTTTAATAATTTTTTGTTTTGCTTTCATAGATTTTTTTTTCCATAAAAGGTACTCATCTAGTTTCTTTTTTTTTTTTAACTACATATAAACTTCTTTTAACACTTTCCATCTTTCAAGATCTGGTATGTATCTTTCCTCTCTAGCACCTGATGAAAATTTTAAGTGTGAAGGACCTCTACTGGAACACAGAGAGTGTCTGTCATGTCAGCTGATGAGACATGATGGGTGGCCTCTGCGCACTAGCGCCCCCATCGTGTATGATATTTTTATCATGACAAAGCAGGCCCACATCAGTGGAACCACGGTTCGGTTGCTGACCTGACCTTACCCTCCTAGTCAAAGCAGTGCCAAGCCTTGAGCTGTGTGCACACCTACCAAAACAACCATGTACTGACAAGCACTTCTGGGAATTTATGAGTCAAAAATTACATTAGACATTATGCCCCCTGTTTCACAGACAAGGCTTCAGCTAGTCCTAGAGTAAAATGTGCAATCTGTTTTAATGGAAAGCAACATGCAGTGACATCTGTGCCATCTTCGCCTGCTCATCTCAACACCAGCAGCTGAGACTTTCTGCGTGTATTGTGCTGGACTATCTGGGATTGGTCACAGCACTTGCAAATTGTTGGCCTAGTGTTGGTTTTATTGCTTCTATCTCCTCATTTGTATGTCGCTTTGGATAAAAGATGTAAATTATTAAATACACTGCTTGGATTTTTTATTTCTGTCTTTTGAAACCCAACTCTGACACTGATATAACCAGCTGGTACCTTATTCGTTGCTTATCCAATATACTCTACCTGGTTGCAAATAGAAACCAACTAGCTACCATGTTCCTAAAAATCCTGCCTGAGGGAACTTGCACTGCGTCGATGTCACTTTGGGAACGCCCCTGTGTGATTCCATCTAAAGCACGTATATCAACTTAGTCCACTGGCGAGAGTGAGCGTTGCGGTGGGTGACATCACGACCGGGAAGGATAAAAGCACATTCGGTCTGACTGGCATTAACTTCTGTTTTTGACATTAATGACAACTGATATCTTACAGTGTGACATGGCTTACAGCGATGATCATGTTCGTACAGTCTGACAAGCAACAATTGTAAAGTACTATTACAAATCGCACTGCACACCCGATTTAAAGGTCCCCTGACATGTTTTTTTTTTAAATTATTTTATAACGTTTCCTGGGTTGCCCTTATAATGTTAGTATGTTTTTTAGAAAAAAATAGTCATAATTTAGAAATAAAAGGCACTTTTCCTAGCCTGATTTTAGCCTCTGCTTAGAACGGTCTGTTTGAAGGGGCGTGTCTGCTGTGGGATTCAATGTAACCACCCACTGCTGTGATTGGCTGACATGCTTGCATATGAAAAAGCTACATATTACATGTGAAACTCTCTTGAATACGTACTACAGCTATTATACGTTTTTTACTATTACAGATATCGAAATTACTGAATCGCATAGGCATAATTTGCGGGTGGGATTTATTATATAGAAAAATTATATACAAATAAATAAATCATCTCTAGTTAACTAGCAGAGCATTCATTTAGTTCGTTTCTTTAAATAAGAGGCGATCTAGCGCTGAAATGTGTTGCTTTTGAAAACAAGTGATCAAAGTGCTCGTTGCGATCAGTGGCGTGGATACTCAGTTCTCTTGTGGCTCGTGCTGTCGCACGCAGTCTTCACACGGACTCGCGCTTTAATCCGTTGTGGAGACTATATTCGATCCGGTAAAATCACAAAGTAAAATGCACACAAACATACAACTGATAAACATAATCGGTTTTAATCAGAGAGAAAAAAAAACGTTACGAGTGCGGGATTAGAACCCAGAACCTCTGTCACGCTTGGCAAAAGTTCTGCCACGGGACTAATGAAATGCTTGCGTGTTATTGTCAGATCTTTGTATTTCATCACGTGAAAATTCTAGCCACAAACACATATTACATCTGCCCGATAGAAGCCCGAAACTCGTCCGCTCTCGTCGAGGTAAAAAGCTGCACTTGAACACATCGAGAGAACTACAGCCGACTGTCAGCTAAATGTGCGTTCTGCACCTGCGTTTAACAAGCCAAATGTCTATTTCTGCAGATATATTAGTCTATAGTTGTCATTCAAAAAGGAAAACCGACGCTGCCGGGGCTGCAGATACACATAACCTAAACAAAGCAGCGCGTGCTTACCGTTTTGAATATCATCCTGCTAAACACTTTCTTTAAATAAGATTATTTTCATCCTACTCAAAGAAACGACGTGAAGTTGATAATAGTCTGGCTTGACTTACTGATGCATAAACAGTATCGAACGATTTTGAGAGAAAGATTACAGTAACTTGTCTTCTGCCCGTTTGGACCATACAAAACTTCTGGGAGTAGAGTCGGCGCATTTCCAGAGAAAATAAAATTAACCCATTGTTTCTTCAGAGGCTCGGATGAAGGAACTAAAAAATACTTTTGCGTTCATTTGTACATCCGAACACTGAGCAACTGCCATGCTTCGCTCGTTTGCAAGCCATGATATCTCTCGAGGAAAAACTCAAATCTCAAAGCTATTTCTCTAGGAAAAAATAAAATCGCGCCTGCGTGTGTTCGTACTTCCTGTTCCTAGCTCGTTTTCTCATCGTCGGGGCAAATTCTCTGGGCGCGCAAAGCAGAGAAAGGGGAGTAACCTTTCCCCTATATGACGTTATATAGGGGGAGATTGTAGATCAGTGCGTCTGAGATGCAGACGGATGCAGAGAAGAGAAAAATAGCCAAAGCTCGGTTTACACCGATTGAAAATTCTAGACACGAGGGGACCAAATACAGTCTAGGGGAACTCATATTAATGTTAAAAAACCTCAGAAAATGAAAATTTCATGTCAGCCCAGCAGGCACTGGACGTCAATATGACGTTATATTGACGTTGGACCCTAACGTTGGGTAGACGTTGCAATTTGATTGGATATGAAAATCGGGTTGACGTCAGAATCCAACGTTACTCTGACGTTGGGTTATGACGTCAACCCGATTGTCATATCCAATTAAAATGCAACGTCTGTCCAACGTTGGATATTGACGACAGACTGACGTTGGGTTATGACGTCAACCCGATTTTCATATCCAATCAAAATGCAACGTCTGTCCAACGTTGGATATTGACGACAGACTGACGTTGGGTTATGACGTCGGGTTATGACGTCAACCCGATTTTCATATCCAATCAAAATGCAACGTCTGTCCAACGTTGGATATTGACGACAGACTGACGTTGGGTTATGACGTCGGGTTATGACGTCAACCCGATTTTCATATCCAATCAAAATGCAACGTCTGTCCAACGTTGGATATTGACGACAGACTGACGTTGGGTTATGACGTCGGGTTATGACGTCAACCCGATTTTCATATCCAATCAAAATGCAACGTCTGTCCAACGTTGGATATTGACGACAGACTGACGTTGGGTTATGACGTCGGGTTATGACGTCAACCCGATTTTCATATCCAATCAAAATGCAACGTCTGTCCAACGTTGGATATTGACGACAGACTGACGTTGGGTTATGACGTCAACCCGATTTTCATTTTCAACCAAAATGCAACGTCTGTCCAACATTGGATGTTGACGACAGACTGACGTTGGGTTATGACGTCAACCTGATTTTCATTTCCAACCAAAATGCAACATCTGTCCAACGTTGGATATTGACGACAAACTGACGTTGGGTTATGATGTCAACCCGATTTTCATTTTCAACCAAAATGCAACGTCTGTCCAACATTGGATGTTGACGTCAGTCTGACATTGGGTTTTTACATCAACCCGATTTCCATTTTCAACCAAATTGCAACGTCTGTCCAACATTGAAGATAAACGTCAGTCTGATGTTGAGTTATCAACCCGGTGCTGGGTAAACCTCCAACGTTGGACATTGCCTTTTGGTTGAAAATGAATCAGTTTTAAGTGTCAGACCCCAATGTTAAGCTAAACATCAAACTCACATGTTGGGCTGACGTCCAACCGTGGACAGACAATGAATTTTTGATGTCAGATATCTGTCAAAACACAACATTAAGCTGTCAAATTCCAACTTTAAAGAAATATATGGTAATTTTGTTGGCATGACATAAAACTACATGAAGTTTCATCAAAAGAAACTTCATGTAACAACAAGGTTCGAACAGAGGTCAAGATCCAATGCAAGACAACCCAAAAGTATTTATCTTAAGACAAGAGCAAACAGAAAAGTAATTTAATTTTTAGTGAACTGTAATCCACAAATGATGTTTATTAGATAAATGACAAAGAAATTAAATGGATTATAAAATAACCTTTTATTTTATTCTTTTTTTTTTTTTACATTATTTTAACAGAAGGTTTTCAACCATTTATACTTAACATTATTATCCTTATTCTAAAATCGTACAATTTTTTTTTCCTGCAACCTCCGCCCCTGCCTGTCTGGGGCATATTTTAAACATACGGCGACAGCCGCTCCAATGTTTGCCTCCGTCTCCTTTGAAGTCCTCTAGACACTCTGTAAGAAATATTTGAAAAATAAAATTTATAGGGAATATAAGATATGATGCACTACATTAAGCATTAAAACATTGAATTCCAAACAGTCTTAAAGCTAGGGTAGGACATTTCAGAGGGGCTAGCAATAGCAAGCTAGCTTGGAAAGCAATCGATATGATTCAGAGCATCTCAAAAGCCAAATAACCAAAGAGTTGGTGGAAGAGAGTGCAATGCTTTTAGATTAACTCGTGTCTCATTCACTGGTGAGACATTACAATAATAATGAATGTGAATAATGAAAAAAAAAGGTTAAAAAAAAACATTTAGCAAAAATACAATTTCATAATTATTTTTATTTTTTTTTAAATAAAACCCTTTTCAAATGTTGGTTCAAGAGAAATCGCTAATGTTTGGCTTCTATTCTCAATTTCTATGCATATATTGAACACGTTGATGACGTTTCACTTTGCAAACAAGTTGCGTAGAGGTATGCAAATATATATATTGACAAACAGGTAGGACATCCTATATATGTATATACAGTAGCTACCAGGATAGGAACACACTTTCAACAAGTTTTTGGAAAAAAAATTCTACCCTAGCTTTAAGGGCCATACACATGTAACATTCTTGCATGTACATGCTGTAACTCATCAAAAGAGAGATATTTCTTTTGATGCTGTTCACAAATGGCGATCAGACATTCCAAGCAAAAATGTTAATCTTAAGCTTAATGAACATTTAAAAGACATCAGATTGAATGTAAAAACAACAGTTAGAGTAGGTGTGGGCATTCTTACCAAAATTTCATATCACAATCTTTTAAGAAACAATCACGATACATGATCATAATCGTGATCTTCCCAATTTTGAGATGCACTTGCACTATCAAGAAAATTAAGACTGGCAACGAACGATACATGTCTGATATACTAAGATATGAATTGATATTTAAATAAATAATCTGCAAATGAATTAAAAACATCTATAAATTAAACATCCTTAACATCCTTATTTTAGATTGTAACTTCTTGATTCTGTAACTTCTTGATTCTGTAATTATATGCTATTACAGTATTTTTCACATATAAAAAAATTGTTTGAAAAAAATATGAATAAAAAGATAATGCAATCAACCTGGCACTCAGTAAGTTTGTGCGCACTAGGAACCACATTTTTTTTTTTTTTCAAATAAAGACAACGTGACACTCATTTTACATTTAGCACACAGTGTAAATGACATGAATATGGCAGAGGGCAACTGAATATAGCGCCAGCATAGTTTGAAATCAAAGGTTTAAAGTTTGTCGATCATGTGTCCCCAGTGAAGCTGAACTTATTCACACGGACTGACCGGGATTGAACGTCTATGTACACTTCAGAATATCTGACAGCTGGATTCGACAAAGTCTGCAAGGATTGTGAAATTAAATGTTTTTTTTTTTAATATTCAAAGATTTGTTTAAATTATATAAATGCGTATATTTGCTGAATATGAGAAACTATTAATAGTGTTTGCCTGTTTGTTACTAATAATATAAAAGCAAAAACTATAATACTTCTTCTTATACAGTTTAATTTCTTTGTTCTATCCAACAACAGGTTATATCCAGTAACGTATTAAACTGTTAAACAGAGAGCATAAACTAATGAAGACGAAGAATAGGAGCGCTGTGTGCTCAGGGCCGCCCGTAAAATTAAAAGTCAGCTTCACTGGGGACACATGATCGTCAATATATATATATACTGTATATATATATATATATATATATATATATATATATATATATATATTTTTTTACCTGTGACAACATTGTAAAGATGTTCCTTTCCCGCCCTTCATATTGAAACTGGCCATTACCTCCTTTGTCATCAACCTGTGGATACAAAAGGAAGAGAATTGAAATGTCCAAATAATTAATTATATACAACACATTATATAACGATTGTTATAGTTTAGTAAGTTTGTCATATCTAGATGTCACACTGGTTCCACTGTTGGCCTGGTGTTGATTCCAAAGGTCAGGAAGGATTTAAACATATAGAAAAATCTAATATTTAATATCACATTTGGATATTGCATATTGGAATGGTAAATTGAGTGTTTTAATTGAATCAGATGTACACAGTGTTCCTATTTTAACTGCACGGGTTTGTTAATTTTAGACTAGTCAGTTATAGGTATGTGACGGCGAGGATATTTTCCCACCGGCTAATCAACGTGTGGACAACACCAGCAATACCGGTATCACTGGCGGGGCTTTTAAAAAGCTAATTTAAAGGCAAATGTAAACGTATTTGGATGCCTTGTTGTTTCTTGCATTTCACCTGTATGTCTTGAATATAGCCTTTGAACGCATATTGCAGCCCCTTTTGCCTACTTTTATCGGACACTTTATTTGCTGCTTTATAAAAGTTTGATAACATTTCAGCAGGAAGAGCTGTTACAGCATAAGCCATGCAGAGTGCAGATGAAGTTTGACAGATGTAACAACAGTAACTTAGGGGGGCGGGGCTTAGCCAAAGGTGAATTGGTGCTAATTTGAAAACAAAACTAACATGTGCACGGCCACACATGTCAAAGGGAGTTCTGTACATTTCTGTTCTGCTCAGTCCGTGCACGTTGACACGTGTGGCCGTGCACATGTTAGTTTCATTTTTAAATTACACAACAACAAAACAGTGCAATGACAAATTCACTTAAATAGGCGCTTTTACATTTCGCTGTGACACATTATTCCGCAGTCACCTTGTCAGTCAGCTCCTCACTCTTGTGATGAAAGAAACTGACTCATGTTGCTGATCTGTGTGTCGACTCTTGTTCGGCTCAAGATTTACGCGCTCGCCGATGATCGCATGGATATCGATGGTGCTCACATGTTCGCAACGTGTGAGAGGAATTACGAGCCAAGCCGAGCACTTCCCGATAATTTTAAAAAATGTTTAAACAATTCGGGGAGTCTGCCTGTTTTTCACCAGTAGGGTTTATGCACACTTTTTTAAAAGGCAAATTTAAGGATTGTTAAGACCTGAAGAAATAAAAAAAATAAAAAAATACCTTACATTAGGGGTGCGCAATATTGACAAAAATATGTCTCGATATTTTAATGATTGTGTTTTTGTGCTGGTACCATGGCTGGTTTAGGCCTGTTGTTGACAGCTGATTCACGAAGATATTCATATTTTTCATATTCTATGCAGTGGTCAGTTCACAGCAGTGACAGAAATTAATATTAGATAAGATTTGTGCAGGACAGTCGTGCCGTGTACCGGCTGTTTTGACGTGATTATCAAGTTAACTGACTCCTGAAATGCAATATCTTACGACCTCCATTACGAGTGTCCGAACTTGCACCGTGTATGCCTGCCTCAACACCGACTATCGTAGCAAGCCTAGTCGCTTACTAAACCTCTGTTTAAATGACTTTAAAATTAGTCATCACACACATCTCTAATTAAACAGACAGACGGATGGATAGTCAACTTCATCAACTTGTCTGTGACAACATCCAGATAAAATAACACATGATTCTGCCAAGAACTGCTAATATAAAAACTTACTTCTCCATGATCCTTTTCCCATTGTCCTTTAAATGTATTTCTCCATCATTGGACAAGCTATTAATCTGAAATTAGAGGAACAGTATTTTAGTTTAAACACAAAAAAGGTTAACAGTGTATCCCCATGACGGTTGCAAGTCGCACGGGGATTGAAACACTGCACATTATAAAAATTGCATTATACAGTATATGACTGTATGTCCTTACCGGTATCTGCTTTTCCTCCAGGCAGTTGAGAGATTTATCAAGGACATTTCCTCAACTGTTGATGCCTGCCCTTATAAAACAAAAAACATGAGATCATTATTTACAAAAACTCAAAAGAAAGGCAAACTTTAATTTCGGAGAACTGTGGTAACAATGCACATTGCACAGATAATGTATGCCATATGTAATGTATTGACTATTAACTAATTGCAATAGGCTATGTCATTTTGGTTTTGACTTCCACATTATTGTACTATGACATATTACTTAACAATTAGTAATATTTAAATAATGATACCCTTGCAAATCATAAGCTAATGATTAATTAAAGCCAACAACTGAAGTACATACATTGTGGTAATTTACACATTTATTTACACTGTTAATAAAATATATTATTCATGAATTAATACATTATGGCACATTTAATCAATTAATTAATATATTACTTAAAATATTAATATAGACGTTATTAGTTGCAGATGCAGTATAATTGTGTCATACATTGACTCGTGATTATCTGTGCATTAGTTAAGTAGTATGAATTAATGCTTAAGTGCACCCGTATTGTAAAGCGTTACCAGAACTTGTAAAAAATAAAATGGTTAAGCAGGAAATAAAATAAAATAAATCACATTCGGACCACATGACATTTTTTAAGGCTACTGCCAATTCATCTAGATAAATAAACATTTAATCATATCATTATTAAGCTTATTTCTTTGTATTTTAAAATTGGCTGTCGAAAATCCTTATAACTTACATTGACGTCCCACAAGCACATTTTACAACAGTGATCTAGAATCCACGACAAATAAGGACAAGTAACGTTATAGCCACTATGTAAAAAAATATATACTGTGTATATATTTTGCGTGTCATGTGAAGGGCTCTGTAAAATTAATATAAATTAATGCATTCACATGCTAGTCGTTTCCCGACTCCTCCAACAACAGCGGCCATACCCCCAGCGAACCGGACAGCCGGCGCACGTGCATTTCAGTCTGACAAATGTGCGCTGAGGGATCATTCCTATATCACTACTTGTACTAGTAGTTATTTATTATATAAAAGTCACTTTTAACTACATCAACTAGGTAACTGCTTTTTGGTAGTTAAATAGTAGGCCAGGTAGAAATTCTCGCGCAGCCCAGTCCACATAAAATAAAATAAAACTAATAAACACCAATATTTATTTAAATTTTCGTTACCTCTGTTCACTCACCTTCCACAGCAGGTATATCCAGATGTTGAAAGTTGTGCAGGCCAGTGCCCGCGCAGACAGTATAATGGCTGCTGGAGTGGAGTGGAACGGGTGGGAGGTCTTCGTCTTTCCCACAAGAGGGTAGAGCGGAGGAAATTGATGCCTAACTGTGATTGGTTAGGAATTAATTTCAAATTGATGCCTAACTGTGATTGGTTAGGGATTCATTTAAAATTTCTTGGGTTACCTGCAACATTCTAAAAACTGTTGCACACTTCAATAGGCTAAATTGATTTTATTATTATTGTTATTCATATTATTATCATTATTAAAAATAACTACTGCGTTTGTCTGACAGCTGCACTGTTAAGCACAACTTGATAAAGAAATTGGGTGCAATGTATGTCTGTTTCTCATGGAATCCAAATGAAGGCCATATGTGTTATATACGCTATAACTAAAATTTCAGGTCCATGAGGTCCAACTCACCTGATAAGTAGCCCTAATTAAAAAGATAAAACTGTCAGGTTGTTGGACATATGCTATACAGATGATTACTCATACTGTTACCCTGTCACTGCCTGAATTCTGAATTCATTAGTCTCCAATAAACTGCTGTATTGTGACTTTGGAGATTTTGGAAACACTTTACAATAAGGTTCATTTATTAAACATTAGTTAATGTATTAACTAACATGAACTAACCATGAGCAATACATTTAAATCCAGTTGTTCATTGCTTGTTCATGTTAGTTCACAGTGCACTAACTAATGTTAACAAGATTTTAATAAAATATTAGTAAATGTTGAAATTAACAAATGCTGAAGAAGTATTTTTTATTCTTAGTTAATGTATGTAGTTACTAATGAACCTTATTGTAAAGTGTTACCGAGATTTTGATTACCCAAATGCACAACTTATTTGCTGTTCCATAATGTAGATCATCCAATTTTGAACCATAAAGTCTTTCCCTCTTGTGAGAATGTAAATCTTGCCGGGAATGTGCTTCTCCAAATTGAATAAAGTGTACTGTATACACCTGCAAACAACATAATTTTGAGCATCAACCCAGCTGATTTTTTTTGTAAATATGCAAAATAACACAGGGTGGTTCATGATTCATTATTGTAGACATAAGAATAAACCATTAATAAATCCCAAACCAATGTGTGTTGGGCACACCTTCAGTCTTTCAGTTGCATGCTTGCATGTAGTACTTCATTCATTTTTAGATCAGCACACTCCTGGTGAAGAGCTTGTTCTTCTGACAGGGAACACACTGGGTCAACTTGATCTATTACACTTGCATGAACAAGAAAATCTATGGATAATCCAAACTATCACCAATAAAGAGCAATGCTTACAGTAAGTTTGACGTTTAGGTCACAAAGACTTCAGTCTGAATTATTCATAAGTATGAAGTTAGTGTATTTTAGACATTGAATTTCTCTTACCCAAGACCACAACTGAAATCATACCAAATATGTCTAATGTTGATGTATCCTATTTAAGATGTATATGTACATTAGCATGCTGACATTTGTGTTTTGTTTAGTAGGCTAACCATGATGTGCAGTCAACAAAACAAAAACATCTAATAATGGAATGTTGTGTTGCTAGATGTTAACATAGTGACATTGCTGGGTTTAGACCACCATACTGTACCTCATGACAATTAGAAGTGAGATTGTGACCCAACAAAACATAGTATTTTGACATCATTATGACGTTAGCTTGAAACGTTGGCTCAA